ACTACTACTGCTGCTACTGCTACTGCTACTGCTACTGCTACTGCTACTGCTACTGCTACTGCTACCACTACTGCTGCTACTACTACTACTACTACTACGACGACGACGACGACGACGACGACCATCACCACCAGCCACGAACGTCAATAGCCCAAGTTAGTAGCAAACAAGAACAGTAGTAGACATTAGATCACAAGTTTAGTGCCCGTGTATTGCGAGAATCACAGGAGTACCTGTGGAGGTCATGGGCCCTGTTTTGGCCCGCTACGGGTTCACGCCCGACAAGAAAGGAAGCACCGAGCTCAGGCCGGGAGCACACAAAGCAGAGCGGATGGCCCAATGGTTCTGATCTGTTTCTTCCGTTTTGCCCGCAGTTCTTTGCGAATTTGGGCCTAGCTGGGGCGTGTTGAAGACGTTGCTGATCAGGGCAGTGATCGCTGACCTGGCCAATCAGAGCAAGGAGATCAGGCTCATGAATACCGAGATTCAGAAGTCGCTTAGCAGCATAGGGCTTCTGACGGCTAGGGCCAGGGATGATGTCGCACTGGATCCAAGGCTTGTGATCAGCAACTTCCCGGATCTTCGTGGTGACAAGGCGAGGTGATTGCCAGGGCTGAACTATGCCACAGCTGTGATGGGAAAAACCCTAGTTGCTCGCATTTCGCTTTTCAAGTCGACTGCTCTGGCTGAGGTGCCGCTCCAGAAGTCGGGGACGCCAGGGAGCACCGCTGCCAGCACCGCCCCGCCATCAGCCGATGAAGAGGTCTCCACACACTTCGGGCACCTGTGTCAAAGCGAGAGGGCAAAGAAAACGCGAGGTGGTAGGACATAGGGGTCTTAGCACCAAGCGGCTACCTCTCGATGTTGGCGTCCGTTTGTGTGGCTTCATGTGGGCTTTCAACAGTGTCTTCAGAGGCTCCCGATCTGGAAGAATCCCCTGTCCCCAGCTTGCATCGGCAAAGATGTTTTGCTACAACCAGTTGCAGTACTTGGAACAGACTGCTGGTGCACGCATGGGCGACAGGGGCTTGAAGTTTGTACTGTACCAGTGGTTGTTCGAACCCAAAAAGGTCAAAACAACTCACGACACCCATGCCCTGCAACTGGAGAAATCTGGCTCATGGGGTTGCCGGAACTCAGTGTGGAGGAGCCTTCCGGAGAATCACCGGTCAGCGATGGTTCGAGGCCCGAAGAATGCGTGGGAGTTGTTGGGAGCCAGGCCTGTCGTAACATCCCGCAAACGGAAGTTAAAGGGAGCCTGATGATTAGCCTAGGCAATAGCCTTAGATGCTGAATCATCAAGGCACAAGAAGTCGAGGCTAGGATCTTCAGCAGAAGTCAGGGTGCAATCTTGATCCTTGTGCTCACACCTTTCGGCTGCGGGGGTCTCGAAATGTGTGTTCCCGCCGCGGCAGCTTGTGCCACCTGCTCACAAGCATTGTGCAACCTGCTTCAGCTTACAAATCCCACAGCTACGGACAAGCGACGTCTCCTACCCCGGAATCGACATGACTTCCCCTCGGTGGACCGTTTTGTTCTCATGCCCCCGAACTGTACCACATGGTCACGCCGCCCAGCGTGCAGTGGCTTCTTTGGGCCACGCTGGCCAGTGGCGAAGAGGCGCTCCTTTGCAAGGAAGTCTCGCTCAAAGTGCCCAAGTCGCTGCAGAGGCATACTTGCGAGACTGCCACAGGCTCATGGAAAGCCAGCTCAGATCCTCGGCCTTTCCAAGAACTGCTCGTTAGTTCTGCTACCATCTGGTGCTGTACATCTGTAGGATGACGCAAACACTCCAACAGCAAGCTCAAGCCAAGGAGAAAGCCACATCCAGCCGGCCTGTCATCAGAAGGTCGCAGGCCACGGTGGTGTTTGTGTAGAAGTGCTTGTGCCCAGCAGCTGGTGTGCCGCACCACAGCAAGCCGTCCATACACGCAATGCCCCAAAAGCCTTCAATGCAGGCATCTACTGCTCCCGGCTGCTGGAGGTGACGGGGCAGCCCGAAAAGCTGAGAGATGTGTCGGGCAAGTGCGCAGATGTTGGACCCTTGGGAAGTAAGTTCGCAGGTGGAGAGACCTCGACCGCTGGCTGGGAGCTGTCCACTGGATCCATTACGGATGGCATCACCGAACCAGGCTCCGTAGCTGCCATAGCTGTCTGACGCTTTGGGGCTTTGCCCGGGGCTCCGGCTCGAGAGTGGAGAGCCTCCCCGTCAGCCGAGGCAGTAGAGGGTGACGTCCCACCTACGGCTGGTATGCAGCAGCGGAATTTGCAAGAAGTCGCTTTCGGGGTGCTGGTCCTCGCCGCCTACGAAGCTCAGCTTGGGCTTGTCCAGCGACTTCTTACTTCCCTCTGGCGGAGAACTCATACCTTCCTGGTCCACGTCGACCTGAAATCGGAGCAACTGGAGCGGAAACTTCGAGATTGGTCCGCTTCAGATCCAAAGCTCGCCAACGTCCACGTACCTCGGCTCCCTCTCGATTCCAGCAAGCCTCCCCAAGCTACACCAAGGCACTCGTGCCGTAGGAGCCAGTGCAAAGCAGTTCTTCTATTCTATCGTCTTCCCCTCAGCGATTCTTAAGGTGAGATGGCTGGTTACCACTGAGGATGATGCGAGGGGATATGCCCGACGTGAGATGGTGTCGAGGTGCCGACGGCGACCGATGTTATCATTTCGACGATCTCTGCAAATACCGCCGTGACAAATTTTGCTGCGGTCTCTTGTGTGTGTGTGTGTTCACTGGTTTCTCATAGCTAGTGCTGTTGCCAGCAGCACCTCAGCAATTCAGGCTACTACTGGTGATGTCTACGTTGATGACAACAGAGACACCAGCGCAACCACAACCGCTTGGTTCGTACTCTGTTTCTTCTTTCTGTCACACCTGCTGCGAGTGTGGAGATGTCTGACATAACACTATGGCAACGAGGTTGCGATGGTTGTGCAGATTATGGTGATGACTGTATGATGCCGACGTGGATCAGGATTATGCTGATGTCGATGATGTTCAATGCGAGTCTCGTGTTGATCTTGCTGGCAATGGCCGTAGAGGCGCTTGCTGTCGTGGTGATGGTGATGCTGGTGATGATGTTGTTTATGATGATGATGATGATCATCATCATCATCATCTTGATGGTGGCGATTTTGATATTGGGCCCATGCTGTACTACAGTGGCATGATCTTGTTACACTGGCTGAGGTGGAGCGTGCTGTGGGGGTCCGCCGCTCTGGGGCCTCCCTGTTGGCGGCCGAGCTCTATGGGCTGAGGAGGTGGAAGTGGAACAGCTGTACGGTTCAGGCTTACAGCAAAAGAAGGTCCCGGGGCCTTTCGTGCTTAGGAGGCTGTCGGCTTGCATGTTTAGACCTGTGCCGCGCCTTGATGGACTGAAATGCGGTTTGACTCGATTTTGAAGCTTCTCTCAGAGGATGATGATGTGACTGTTCATGACAATGTGTTTGTTCTTGCATTGTGATTTTATGTTAGTAGTGAACGTCGAACACCAGCGGACTATGCAAGGCAGAGAATTGCTCAGTAGCCTGCATTCCTGCGTACTCTTGGACCTTGGAGGTTGCTGAGCCTTTCCACGACCTGGCACTACTTCATGTCTCTCGGCTACGCTGCTACAGGGAGCTTGTGACTAGAGTCTATATAGTAATTTTAGGTGGTGCCGTGATCCTGCTGGCCATGTGGCAAGAGCTCTTTTGGGAGCAGAGATGTAGCGGAGAGATAGCTTATGGCTTGAGGGGCAAGAGTCAGGTTGTAGCCCCCTTGGAGCTTCCGAGGACCCTGTCGGACAGTGATCAGATGGCCTGAAACTCGGACCTTGAAAAGCTGTCGCAAGACCCCATTCGTTTACGATGCTCTCCCCGGATGCACGTCTGTGAAGCGAGCCCGTAAGATCTTACTCATTACTCGTTGAAGCCGGCTCCGGGGGTAGAGGGGATGGAGCAGTGCGTCGGCGTTTTTTCCATTCCGAAAGCTTTACGAACAAGAAGCCACGAACGCTTTTGCCGCTGCCGGGCTCATGGAGGCTTCGGGGAACTTTCGGGTTCGGGAGCCATGGCGCACAAGTCCAATCCCTACAAGAAGGCTCTGTCGGGTTCTGGGGTTTCGAGTTTCAACTTTGGTTGTTTTCAAGGAAGCTGTTTCGGATGAATTACCACTCCGACATGAGAGGTGCCAGTCTCAGAAATAGCAGTATGCCCTCATCATCGCAACAAACGGTGGTCGTGATCAAAGCATTAGCAACATCAGCAACATGACCACTTCTAAACCTGGCAACATCCACAAGGCCAACGAACAGAGCTGAGCTGCGGCCAGAACATCTGTGAGAATTAATGGAACTGCTGTAGTCACAACAAACCCAACAGGAACTGCAGAGGGGCAGCAGCAGGAGGAGGAGGAGGAGGAGCGGAGGAGCAGTAGCAGTAGGGAAAGAATAGTATTAATATCAAAGTAATAATAAGATAATAACAACAGTTATAGTAGTATTATTAGCAATAGTAATATGGAACAGGCGCAGCAGCAGGAAGAGTAGCACTCTCCCGGGAAGCTGCAGCGTTTGATGCCGATTGTTCCTTCGAAAGGCGCGATCAAAGTTTCGCTGGAAGTGGAAGAAGACGCATGGCATGCACGTTATGAATGTCGGCATGTCCTTCGCTGGCAGGCAAGCTGAAAGGGTCTCTAAAGGGATTCTGGCTCAAAAAGGCTTCCATGTTCGGAGAAACTTACTTTGCAGACTCTGTGATTCTGTCGCGCTGCAAGCATGGCTAGAGCGTGTGCCTTTCAGAACTTCAGCCCCAGGAAGCGCACCCGCCGATTGCAAAAGAAGCGCCGCAAGATGCGCCAACGTTCGAAGTGAGCAGCAGAGGACTTGAGCGAGGCTGACCATGCACGAGCTTCCCTGCGCTGCCTTGCGAGTCATCTCTGCTGAAGACAATCGAGAAAGACTCAGAGACCCTTCTGCCGCCTTGCAGGCGAAGGGCACTGCCTCACGGTCTTCTCCCTGCGCTGGCAGCGTTGCTCAGGGGACGGCGGCCTCAGCGACTGCGGGCTTTCCTGTGCTCAGGAGGACACTCAGAGAATGGGCCTCGACGCCACCCGACAGCTGACAAAAAGCTGCATGAGCAGGTGTGTGAGTAGCATGATAAGGCATTTGGAATATCTACTTCTTATCGCAACAGTGCTCTCGACCAGACAAACAGGCTTGGCCCAGCGAAGCCGCGGAAACTCAAGCTGTTGAAGAACACTACCTTTCTTTCTCAGATTCTATAGTCCCTTTCGAGCGGTCCGCTCAATTAGATTCTCTCTAGTCCCTTTCGGTTCATGCCTCTTTCTCGAATTCCCTAGTTCCTTTGGACAGGCTCGCTGCTCCTCTTTCTGAGTGCACGCCTCTTTCTGAGATTCTCTAATCTGTTTCGAGCGGTTCACGCCTCTTTCTCAGATTCTCTCCAGTCCCTTTCGAGCGGTTCATGCTTCTCTTGTCTGTTTCGAGCGGTTCATGCCTCTTTATGAGATTCTCTAATCTGTTTCGAGCGGTGCATGCCTCTTTCTGAGATTCTCTAGTCCATTTCGAGCGGTTCATGTCTTTTTCTCAGATTCTGTAGTCTTTTTTGAGCGGTTCACGCCTCTTTCTGAGATTCTCTAATCTGTTTCGAGCGGTTCACGCCTCTTTCTCAGATTCTCTCTAGTCCCTTTCGAGCAGTTCACGCGTCTTTGTCAGATTCTGTAGTCCGGTTCGAGTTGTCTGAGATTCTCCAGTCCGGTTTGGGCCTCTTTCTCAGATTCTGTAGTGCCTTTCGAGCGGTTCGCGCCTCGTTTCCCAGATTCTCTAGTCCGTGTCGAAGGGTTCACGCCTCTTTGTCAGATTCTCTAGTCCCTTTCGAGCGGTTCGCTCCTCTTCCTCAGATTCTGTAGTCCCTTTCCAGCAGTTCGCTCCGTGTCACACGTTTCGGTCCTTGTTCTCAGATTCGTTATAGTCCGTTTCGAGTGGTTCGGGTTGGCTCCGCTTTCACAGATTCTCTAGTTTCTTTCCAGCGGTTCGCTCCTCGTTTTTTGGATTCTCTAGCCCCTTTCGAGACTCTCGCGCTTCTTTTTCATATTCTTTAGTCGCTTCTGACCCGTTCGCTGCTCTTTCTGAGATTCCCTTGTCCGTTTCGAGCGTTTCAGATCCTCCAGTCCGTTGCGAGCGATTCGCTGCTCTTTCTCAAGCTCTCTAATTGCTTTCGAACGGTTCGCTCCTCTTTCTCAGATTCCCCAGTCCTTTTATTTAGCTCCTCTTTGTGAGATTCTCTTGTCGTTTTTGGATGGGTTCACTCCTCGTTGTCATATTCGACAGGCCTGTTCGAGCACTTCTTCGCTCCTCTTTCTTCAGATTCTCTCGTCCTTTTCCAAACGGTTCGCTCCGATATCTCAGATTCTCTACTCCCTTTCGAGCGCGCTCCTCATGCACAGGTTCTCTACCAGTCCCTTTCGAAAGGTTCTCAGATTCTCTAGTTCCGTTCGAGCAGTTCGCTCCTGCTTTCTGAGATTTTCGAGTCCAGATCGAACCGCTCGCTCTTCTTTCCCAGATTCTCTAGGCCATTTCGGCTAAGCGGTTCGCTTCTCTTTTCCTAGTCCCTATCGAACTTTTTGTCTCTCAGATCCTCTAGTCGCTTTCGAGCGGTTCGCTCCTCCTCGATTTGTTAAGTCTCTAGTCCCTTTCGAGCGGTTCCCTCCTGTATGTTCGTTGTTCTTTCTCAGATTCTCTAGTAGACTCTAGTCCCTTTCGGACGGCTCGCTCCCTTTCCAACGGTTCGATCCTAAGAGGACCGAACCGCTCGAAATGCAATGTAGAACCTAAGAAAGCCGAGTCAACCACTCGAAAGGGACTAGAGAATCTGAGAAAGAGGAACGAATCGGACAAAGAAGCGCGAACCCTTCGAAAGCCACTAGAGGATCTGAGAAAGAGGAGCAAACCGTTTGAAAGGGACTGAACCGTGTGAAAGGAACCAGGGAGTCTGAGAGAGAGGACCCGTTCGAAAGAGATGGGAGAATCTGCGAAGGGGGGAGGCGAACCGTTCGAAAGGGACCAGAGTAATTGAGAGAGAGCCACGAACCGTTGGAAAGGGAGTAGGACTAGGTCTGAGTAGGCGGAGCAAAGTTTTCTAACGGGGTTGGAGAATCTGGGAAAGAAGACCGAGTGCTCCACAGGAACTAGAGAATTTAATTGAGAGGAGGAGCGAGTCGCTCAAAAGGGACTAGAGAATCTGAGAAGGAGAAGTGAATCGCTTGAAAGGGACCATGGATTGACAATTTGAAAGACGGAAAGCAAACCGTGCGGAAGGTATTAGAGAATCTGAGAAAGACGAGCGAACCGTTCGAAAAGGACTCGAAAATCTGAGGAAGAGGAGCGAACCGCTCGAAACAGACCGCAGGGAACCTGAAAAATGGACCGAACTTTTCGAAAGGGATTGGAGAATCTGAGAAGAGGAGCGAACCGGTCGGAACTGAATCTTAGCAAAGAGGATCGAAGAGTTCGAAAGGGACTTGAGGAGTTGAGAAAGAGGAGCGAACCGTTCGGAAGGGGCTAGAGAATATGAGCAAGTTGAGCTAACCGCCCCAAAAGGATTACGGAGAATCTGAGAAAGGGGAGCCAACGGACTTTAGCTTGAACTGTTCTGTAGGAACAGGAACCTAAGGATTCAAGCAATACAGCAAATAGGAACAGATGATTTAAGCCTCGACCCAGGTCCGGCCGGCAGACTACTTGCAACGTCGCTTGGCACTCCAGCATTGTGAGTCTTCCGCTGGGCTTGTTCGGGGTCACGTAGTTTGGCCCATCTGCGCAGTGCTGTGGATGGAGTAGCCATTAGTTGCATTGGTTGTACGTAGTGAACTCTCAAGAAATTGATTCGGGTGGACATGGGCCGGAGGTGTCCTGGGCCTGCACTGGGGCAGAAGCTTTATCAACACGGAGGTGAGGCACCGTACTAAAACATTCCTGGTCGCTTTTTGCAGTGAGCTTGCTATGTCGAGCGCAGGTGCTCGACGTGAAGCCCAAATCCGTTGCTGCGTCCTGGCAGCCTTGGCGTCACACGAAACCAGGCATTTATCAGACGTGCAAACTCTCCCTTCGGGAGCCTTGGGGGACAGCCGAGACTTCCCAGGTCGAGTGTAGCGAGCGTGTTCATGCAATCCGGATGGGTGGCCATCAGGCCAGCACTGTGCGTTTGACTTCCTCAATCTGGTGCCTGTAGGAGTCATCATCACCATCACTATCACCACCCGTGTCAACATCAGTGCGTGCTAATTTTATAATGGTTCTAATTCTCGTCACTTGAGCCATTGGCATGATCATTATCTAAAATGCAGCTGTCAGCTATATTCTTGCGATTCATTACCATTGCACTTGCCTTTGCTATGCTTTTCTCGGGATAGCAGGATGGTATCCCAATTCGCCCGAACTTGACATTGGCAAGCGGCTCGCAATTTGTCGCCGTGGCCTGAGAGGGGAATGCAAAGCCGGTCCATCGGATCCTGCGGAGTGTTGCACATGGCAGCAGGTGCTTTATCGCGACTTCGCAGAGTTTGCTCTGGATGGATTAGGCGAGACTGGCGAAGAGGTGGGGACAAATTGCACGCGCCTGGTCTGCCTGGTGCCCCTAATGTGGGTCTTTCAATCAAGAGGTTTTGAAGCTCGTCGCGGATGGTCCGGACTACATTGGCAGGTGCCGGACAGTACATCTATGAAGCTAATGCGCATATTGATCGTTCGTTCGTGATTGTAATGATGCACCCTAGCAGCTGTAGCAGAAGGGGTAGCACCATCGCGGCCAGAGTGAGGAGAGGAGGGACCTCTCCATGAAGCTAATGCGCATATTGAGCTGGTCATTGCTGTCACAGCAGCATGTCGGCATTTGGGAAATCCTGGGAAGGATCAAACAAAGCAGCCGGAGCTTGGCACGGGAGGTGAGGTGCCCAATGCTCAACCAGCGCTTCGGCTGGATGCTTTCGCGCAGTCTGTGCTGGTTTGCCAACCAGTCTCGAAGTCAAAATGCCGACCTGCGCAGCTCGTCAGGTGCTCAATGAAGTCCTCTTCTTCTCGTCACCAGACGAGACATTCTTCCACACACTGGTCGAGGCCTCAGCTCATCTTGTTCAGCTTGTCTGAAGGCACCGAGAGAGGTGTCGCAGCGTGTGTTGTGGGCACATTTGGCAGGGATGATGTGAGACAACTATCGTTCTGTTGCGAATGAGGCGGTGAACAGCGTGTACTGCACGAGTCACTTGAGGTGCGATCCCGAGAGTTTCCGTCTTTGTCTTTTGCTGCTGTTGTTGCTGCGAAGTTTGTATGTGCTCCACGATTGTCGAAATCAGTCATCAACATGTCCATGACAGACCAATGTGATCCAATGTGGATAATGCGGGACCGTGGAGATTTTGTAATGCCAGGTACAACTTCCACTTTCACGACACACAGGGCAACTTCTTGGACGAATCGTCGCCGCTGGCTAAGTCAATGGGCTGCTGGAACCAGCGCCCTACTGGTCTTGCAATGTAGAGTCAGGCTGCTACTCTCCAACTCCACTTAGCTGAGCCAGCAACAAGTTGGTGAAAGTCGATCCTTCAAGCTGAAGGCGTAGCTACACGGACTTTCCAACCGGAAGCCCGCCAGTGCTGACTTCCAGCTCGCTTCCACTGCTGCAGCAGGCGTCAAATCTCGGACCTTCGGGAATGCCTTGTAAAGAGGGGAAGGCTTGGAACGAGTCGTTTGAGGGAGCAGGAGTAGGAGACAAGGCCGCACCAAAATGGAACTCAGGGTGCACAGGCTTGCTGTTGATCTAAAGTATAAGTACATGCAGCCTTGCGGATTCAGCTTGTTCCAACCCTTTCTCATGCGCATCCCTGCAGGTGCGGGAACAGCACCCCATCATCTTTGCCAGGAAGTTCGATGCCGCAAACGCATCAAGCATGAGCTGCAAAGCTGCACCTTGAGCAAAGAGTTCCAGTTCGAGATTCTGGTCATTGCGCCCCGTCTGCCTCACTGCAGGCTTCTTAGAGGCGCACGTGGACCAGCTGTTGAAGCCCAGTACCACGACGTGGCAGCCGGCATCAGGCAGGGGAATTTCGAAGGCCCCCAAAGTTTCTCGTGTGCATCCAGCTTGGACATGTTTGGGCTGGTCTCGTTGTAGCTTGCTTTGGAAGCTGGTTCATCGATTTCCACATCGGAGACGAGCTGTAAGGGTTGACCAGGGACGTGGTGAACCCGAGCATGTGCACCTCAACACGGGATCAAGTTCAACCTAACTTGACGGGCGGGTGGAAAAGACGGTTTAAAAAATAGTTGTTCAACAGAATGAAGCTACATGGCCAGGCATCTATGCACATGCATTCGGCTCGCTCCTTGGCGCATGCGGCGAGGTTGAAGGCCTGGCTTTCAGCGATCATCTGTATAGTTCGATCTGCAACAGAATAGTGTGTCCACTTTATAGCTCCAGTATGACTATGGTATAATATAGTATCCCTTTCAGTCCCTTTGCAAGTGTGTATGGCACACATAATGTCCCGAAGCCCTACACCATGACAACATCCTTGAACTCGATCCCGCAAATACTGCAGCCCTGCAGCACTTGTCAGAAACGATTGTGGCCCGCAGCACATGACCATCAAGCCTGTGGCACAACGACTCGCCGAAGCAAACGCATGAGACCAGGGAAGTACCATTTTGACCTATAGAATGCTGAGAGTGACTACCTTTTCACACCGTATATGCAAAGCTCGGACATGAGCCGCATGATCCTTATCGGAGTGGGCCCAGCCTGGGGTGCGCTTCATGTTTGATTTCGACTCACTGGAGCTGGCTGAGAAGACTTGCGATGAAGACGCCACGGGCAGCCTCGAACCCTCCGAGCGGATGCCTCGGTTCATCAAGCGTCTCTAGCGAAACTGCTGGGGTACTGTAGTCCAGATGCCAAGGAAGCTGCTCTCGCAGGGCAAAACCCTCCGGCTGGCTGCCGAAGCACTGCCCGGCTCGCGACAGAGGGACGAGCTGGCAGCAACCTGCGCATCGATGTTGGACGCCTTCCAGTTTCGTCGTCAGAGGCGCACCTGGTTCAGTCCGACGTGGAGAACACAACACGAAGTCATAGTCCAGCAGCCTTGAGCTCTACATCCCTGTCTTAGCGTGTCTTCGATGTAGGAAGCTGAGTGGAAAGACGTGACGCCTTGTAGCCTGAGGTGGGCGCGACTGACTCAAGTCGGCGTCCCCGCAGAAGTCCGCAGTTGCATTTTGGAGGAGGCCATCTCTCTGGAATCTCACATGGTGAGGGGGAAGACATACGGTGACGAGTCCAAGCGGCGTGATCGGATGCTTTGGTTGAACTCGTGCCTTGAGTTGATAGTGGCAAGCTCCTTTTGCTCCTGCTGCTGCTGCGGCTGCTGCTGCTGCGGCTGCTGCTGCTGCTGCTGCTGCTGCTGCTGCTGCTGCTCGCGTGGTGGTCTGCATTGAGATGCATTTTAAATCCATTTGCGAGTCTCTCCTAAGTCGATCAGTCCGTTCAGACGAGGTATGCCTTGTCGTCACGACCTGGCATGCGCTGGCTGACTGATTTCTTGCACAATCTGGCGGTATTGTTTGGGAGACGACGCGAGGATCCATCATCCAAGCTCACATTGACGGGACGTGAGATGGCGATGTTGGCTTGCTACGACTCTGGAGGCTTCTTTACCAGCCACTGCGACGGCTCTGCCGAGGACTCTGCTTCCTGTCTGCATACACATGCGACATGCGGGCAGTCTAATTGTTGTGTAGCACGCTTGTGTGCGAAGTGACAACTCTTTGCTTTCATGCTCCAATGATCGGCATCGAGGATCATCATAGCTCCATCAATTCGAACCTTGTGTGTTCCGTTGCCTTTTTGGTATAAGAATCGAGTTCAAAGATTTTCTTTTCCCACCCTCGTTAACCCCGAGTTAAACAGCTAACGGTTGATGCTCTAGATCTCTACAAAACAACATTTCTGTAAGAACTGCGACATACACCGATTATCACTTCGAGCATCTTCGACCGAAGTCCGGAATCGCCGACCAAGCCACCGATGCGAAAGCAGTTCCTCGTGTCTGCCAGGGATCTATATCGAATGATTGAAATCTTCCGTTGTCCTCTAGATATTAGAGACAGCCCATAGAAGTACACGAAGGCATAACAATCCACGACTTGTAATTTCTGCTAATCTGCTGAGGACTCCTTCGAAAACCGCCGCCTGCTAACTGTCGTGTACTATCTCAATCCTGGGTCCTGGAAAGGATCGGATGGGGGAGCTCTTCGGGTTTTTCCGGAGCACTCTCAGCCGGTTGACTTGCTACCGAATGGCGACAGCTTGGTGTTGCTGCGGGCGGACACCCTGCAGCATGAGGTCTTGCATTGAACTGCTTACGCTTAAACCACTTAAGGCCACCGGCCCCAGTGTTTCCCGGTTCTCGCATATTTTTACTCAGTTCTCCCTTAGAGGTGCGAGTGACCCGCAGACAGCGATGGGCCATCACGATGTGGTTTCATGGCAGCACTGGCCAGGACAGGCCAGAACACGGGCTAGAACTTCGACCCTAAGCTTTCCCATTAAGCAACGGCAGTACCAGAGCAGCGGTGGATTCGTTCGGCGCTGCCTTGTCAATGCGATTGCAGCTTCGAAACGGGATCAGTGGGCAGAATTGTGCTTCGCAACCTGGCAGTCGATGCTGGAGATGGCATTGCAGCTGCATGTAAGATGCCAATCGCTTCGACAGTGACTGAAAATATTCACCCTCTGGCCCCGGCAGAAATCTGGCATTTGCCTTGTCACTTTTACTTCGACCCAACGAACGCTGACCATTGTGGCCGAAAGTGGTTTCGGGAGTATCGCTCTACCAGTGCAGCTATCCCAAATCGAAGCACAGCGCACTGAGCATTGCTTCCATTTGTGCCAGCTGCATCTTGCCGCAAGGTTATACGACATGTCGCAATGCGTTGTCTTCCCACGTTGGACCAGGTTCGAGGAGTCGCATGGCGGTTCAACAGCTCAGTCCAACCCAAAGACCCAAAGACGAGCTGAAGCTTGGCAACCCAGGAGCCTGTGGCTGTCGGCTCTTCACAAAAGGTGCAAATGTCAAGAGTCGGCACCGGTGTACAACGACGTTTGCAACAGCAACGATCGATCGTTACTGGGTTTTCAGAGGGATGACACGGGCGAGACCTTGCGCATGGCAACTGGAGGAAGGTTCCAGGACGGACAGGCCGAAGCCATCAATGCCGCAGGGATCTTCGCCGTCGAGTCGGTTCTCCTTCTGGCACTATGGGCCGGTGAGGCACGACACAAGAGCAGCGGTTGGCAACAAGATCCTTCCTTTTCGCCTTTAGCTCGATGCTCCGAAACCTCGGAAAAAGCCAGCAGCAGCATCTCGGAGCTTCAAAGTCCGTGCAAGTTTAAATGTTTCGTGGTTTCACTTGGAGTAATTGGGCAGGTGTGCGTTACCTGAGCGAGGGAGGCAGCATTGGTATGCCGCAAAGGCCGGGAGCTTGAACACTGTGCTGCGGTCAGCATCTCATGTTCAACAGGCAGGTATTGCAGCTTCGGTTGCATTGTTGCATTCTTAAGCACGAATTTGCTGCAGCCCTGCCCGATGCCAGCACAAGCGATTGAACACAGCATGACACACTCCTACGGAATCTGGCCGTAGAAAATCTCGACTGCATCCTGCATCAGGCTGTCGTTACGCGCGGTCGTGTCAAGGCCTGTGTGCAATCGCCAGGTTGTTGAGCATGGCTTGGCCATTTATCGTGCATAAGCTGTCAGTTAGTTCCGCAAGACAAGCAGCAGGTCTTGTGTCCAGCGAGCCTCTGCAGCCTTGCGCGGGCAGGCAGACATGTTGGAAGCATGCGCGTTCGGCGCACTTTCTCAGCCACAGCTGAAATCTCCGTCGGTGCGTTCCAAAGCTGCCACATCATTGGCCTGCAGGTCCCGGTTCATGGCGATGTGCTACTTTCGGAGCGATTCGTGCAGCCCGTGGTTGGAGCCACCCGGCCGGCAGGAATGTCAGTACAAGGTGCCGATGCATTTGTGGTCCTTGCCCCTAATTCCTTTCCGTGCAGCTTTTCCGACAGAACGCAATATGCCGAAGCTTGGACGGCTTAGCTATTCTTGCTTGACGTTCCTCTACGTTCGAATGGCTCGGTCTCAAGGATGTGACAAATTCGGCCACGGCGCTGTCACCCCTACACTGGCTCCTCGATCGCACGCGGCTTCGCAATGACGGGTTGTGATGAAAAGAGAATCACTTCGTCAGGATTCGAGTGGGCACTGGTGGCGACCTCAAAATTCCTGTTTGGATGATGTTGGGCAGTGCAGTTCCCCAAACCATGAGCTATCACCAAATCCTTCAATGCTTCAACCCTTATTGACAAATGTGTTCATGGAATGGAGGCTGGGATCCTGCCCTGCTACGCTTCACTGGTGTCGCCGGCCTCATGCCACTTTCACAGGCCCGGGGCGGCACAGGGTGTGGGGAGCATCGGTTGCGGAGCTCGACCAAGGCGAGTTCCATGGGACTCTTTGCCGTGTCATACTGGGAACGATGCGCCGTGCAGCGGCGCTTGCGCTTGCGTGGCTCAGCTTCGTCAGCCGTTGCCATGGCAAGAGGGGCGAGCCCAGCCATGCCCAGCCCTTTAGCCCTTGAGAAACCTCATCTTCCTCTGAATACCGGGCTCTCGCATCGAAGTTGCCGCCTTTTTCCGCCGCCTGCTTTTGAAAATTCACGTAAGCCTAAGCACTTTCATCTTCGTTTCTGGTTGCCTCGTTTTTGGTTGCTGAGGTTGCCGAAGCCCCGCTGGCAGCTCCACAGACACCGAGGAGGCAAACATAGCTCGCAACTAGCGGCCGTCCCGGCCGTGCCCAATCAGAAGGGAGCGAGGGAACAAGACCGTGTAATTTCGCCCAGTCGATGTTACGCAGACTACTCTTTAGTCTTCAAATCCTTCACGAAGGTTGCTCCCCACGCTCATCTTAGCAACGGTATGCCGAAGACTGAAGTAGCGACGAGGAGTTCCGTTGGCAAGCCGGTGTCCAGGTGCTGCGTCCCTGGCAGCCCATTTCGGTGACACGGCTGCCGCTCCCAGCAGGCGACTGGGGCTCGCCTGTTCGGAGCTCGAGCAGAGGTGGCAGTGACAGGGGGTTGTCGGCCCCTGGTGGCCAGGTGCGATGGCTGGCTGGTGGTGCCGCCCTCGGCGCCCTGCAGTCAGGCATTCCCTTTCAGGACGCGCTGTGTGGAGACTGCACCAAGGTCGCTGGACATCGAGCAACTTTCTTCAGCCCCACTGGCGGAAAGTTCGGGCCCAAGGCCCGATGCAGCATGCGATCCCCATTTCTGCTTCTGGCGCCAAGTACCCACTGCTTCGAGCGACGACCGCCTTCACGCCCTATCCTCAAGGGGTCTCGCTCCGTTACGACGTCGCACGATGGAAGGGTGGTTTGTGGTGGCTTTCTCTGGTCGTCTGTACTAGGCCATACGATACCATACGTAGCTCGGCTCGGAGGTTGTAGCCCGTTTCAGGGAATAGACGACCAGCATGTTGCCGCCTCATGAGGCTTGTAGCTCGACCCTTGAGGAGTTTGAAAGGGGACCATGCCAGGTCCTGGCACAGTCTCGCTTCTATCTCTTCGGCAAAGACGCCATCCATGTTGAGGTCCTTGAGGACTTCTGTCGTCAGGGTATGGGCAGACGAGGCTGTAGCAGGCTTCTCTTATTTTGCTCTCCTTCCAGGCTTACCACGGTCGGTGTCGGTTGCTTCAGTTGGGATTCTGTAATTTTGGCTCTTGGGGGCTTGACTTCGATTCCTGCGATTTGTTACTGCTAACGGTTACTAACGACTAACGACCGAGTGTGAAAGCCGTGAAGCTACATCATGCCTACCCTGACAAATCTGCAGTAGCCTCATCTCTCATATGCATGTATTCGAACCCTCGGAGGAGCTGTTCAGTGCTGACTTGCTTGCCTCGTCCTCGGTCTTCGCTGCTACGTGGATTCTGAAGCACTTGAAGGCGTTCAGCTGCTTAAGTTTGCGCTTAACTTTGCAAGCGCGGAGCCTCGAGGTGTAGCCGAGACCTGTGGCCAGCTACTCGAGACTTTCTCGAGTCGCGAGCGAGGTCGGGGTCTGCCGGATGGGGACCTCTTTCCTGACCTCAGGAAGCTCATCAAGGAAAGGAGGACCCTGTGTAACAGCGAGATGCCCCACGGCGACAACCTCGAGATTCGGCTTGCTCTTCTCGAGTCCGTAGCCGGAGCGTAGAGGCGTCCGGGTCTTCACCCGTTCTTACTGCTGCGGACATGCCTTCCTTCCGCCATCTTCCGCCTACTGTAGGTGGTCGTGGCGAGATACCGAATTCTTCAGGCAACTGCGAGAGGGCAAGGCCTCATGGGTAACCCAGTGTCTTAGACGCCCTACCGTAGCCGCATTTTCGGTCTCTCAAGAATATTCTAGAACACCAGCCAGAGCACGCAAACAGAAATGGTCGTGGGGCTTGTTGCCATAAATGCTGCAAGGCTTTAGAGAAGTTGGGGAGGTCTGAGGCCCGTTGTGTCACATGCGGTGGATATTCAAATTCGAGGAATAGCATGCAACAAGTGCTGCCCACTTTCAAAGCGTTGCCTCCTCACTGCGGTTCATTTACTATCTGTTGCAGGCACATGCGCTTGAACGCCGATGCCTCGACCTGATCGTACGTGGCCATGTGAACCTGGACGAACTTGACACGCCATTGGACCAAGCGAGATGCTGCAACCCCCATGTTGCCAGAAAGCTCTGGTGCATCCTCGAGTCCTTGCGATGGCTGATGATATCTGATTCTCGGATGATCACAACTCACAACTCCAAAGGCCTGTTCGCAAGAGTTAAGCTGGACGTATTGTTTTGCAGACATCGCGAAGGCTTCTAGCTTAGACGTAGCAGCGCAAGCCTGCCGTCGATGCACGTCTGGACACCGTGCACGAGCAGAAGTCGCCAGGTCTTCTGTGCTACATCGTCAGCTGAGGAACTGACAAGCCACTGTGGACTGGGACCGAAAAATAGCTACCAAAACAGCTTCGGATGCTGGAGACTGGACCCTCTGCCAGGCCGGCCCAGTCTGCCTACAACTGGCATCCAGGACTTGAACAGGCCCAGTGTAGCACCCTTCAGTTTTCATGACAGGCTCTCACATAGCGGATCCTGGCCCGGCAGGGTGTTGATGTTCCTCCGGCTTCGGCTGCCCTGGCCTTATCTTGAGCGCAGATCTCCCACTGAGATGAGATCTGAAGTTTGCGGTGAACGGCTGTGTGTGTGTGTGTAATATGTATAATTCATTTGTTGATATAGCCCATAGCCTTGTATATATATATATACACACACATGCATATACAGATATGCACTTACAGATGCATAACAGTATTGCAGGTATGCCATATCTGTAGATACACGTACATAATATGTCTGTCTGTCTGTCTGCCTGTCTGTATGTATATATTCATGTATGTGTTTATGTATAGATGGACAGGCGTAATGCTGGTGCCATGCAAGGTCAAATGATGTCAAATGACGGAATGCCCGGCACAATGGGAGACGCCTGAAGTGCGATCTTTGCCAGCGCGTGGATGGTTTCGAGCGGAACAAATGCACTGCCAAGCTGCAGCCCTCAAAACTACCAGACTCACATGCCATGAAGATGCCACTGGTTGCAGCGCAGCAAGTAAATCTGGGGGAGCACCTCAAGGCTCAGTTGTTCTGGATGGTGCAACCGTTGCCGTTTTGGCCCAGAAAGCACCCAGAGAAACCTTCGGTGCTTCAAGAAGTGGACCAGGCAACATGGACTTCCTCGCTTCCAGGCTGGTGCGCGTGAGCCCTGTTAGCTTGCATATTCTTGGCCCCTTGGTAGAAGAAAATCCACTGGTTGACGCACCTTTAAGCATTGGCGGAGGGAGCCGATCATTTAATCTGCAGTATTTCCAAAATCTTTTACCTGCAAGGCCAACACAGGATGAGTTTGCCCGCCACGTCGAGGACCTTTAGTTTGCTTGTCTTTGAGTTCTCCAGGAACCTGTCAGTACAGGGAATCGTATAGAGCTCACGTAGTAGGCGCTCCCCCTCTCGGAAACCCGTTAGCTCAGTGGTCCACCCTTGTCATGCTGCCCAAATTCAGGAGGGGTGCCCCTACCGCGCTGATGATGTGATGAAGCCCGAGCAGGCTGTTTCTACCGGCACGACCCTCGCCTTAAACATCAGAACTGACTGCAGAGGCATCGATCTACCCGTAAGTTAGTCTAGTTAGAGAAAGCGGCAACTGCCTTCTCGTTGTATCCTTGGCAGCTTCCATCAGCAGTGAGGGCAGCCTGGTGCAGATAAGGACAATCATGGCCGTTGAATTCGATGGCGGTGTGGTGATGGGCGCTGATTCGCGCACTTCCACAGGCCCGAGCATGTCCATGCCCACATCGAAAGGTTGTTTGGTGCTTCGTGGCCAATCTCGTCTCTGAACGAAGCTTGTTTTCCTTCGCAAAGTCAGCGCAGGACAGTACGTGGCAAATCGAGCCTCGAGGAAGATTTCCAAGGCTCACATCTGGGCAGGGCTTCACTAGCAGCACAGGCACGCGGTGCGACAGAAGCCCAACGTCGTATGAGCCGCCAGTGTAGCAATATCATTGTGACCATCATAAACATGGAACGACTCTGGTAGCCAGTAAGAGACAAAGCAAATGATTGAGAATAGCAGTGCTACTCAGAACGCTGATTGTCTTGTTGTCATGATGCTCACGCCAGTTCTGATGCTGACGAAGATAAGCGTGATGCTAGTAACGACAACGGTGTTGGCCGTGAGCATGACTATGACGAGAGTGTCGATGTATCGATAAGGGTGGCAGGGCTGATTGTAGAAACACTCTGCTCCTGCTTGTAATCCTATGTCTGCTGCTACTGTTAGCACTGCTACTGCGAGTACTGCTGCTGATGCTGCCGCTGATGCTGCTGCTGATGCTACTGCCGATGCTGATGCTGATGCTGCTGCTGTTGCCGCCGCTGCTGCTGCTGCTGCTGCTGCTGCTGCTACTGCTGCTACTGCTACTGCCACGCGACCACTGCTGCTACAGCTGGAGCTACTGCTGCTACTGCTCTGCTTTTTGGCAGAGTTTTGGCGAACGCGACCCGACGAGGTGCACAACAAGATCTTCGTGTGCCGATGCGGCAGTGCTGCTGATACGCAGGTGCTGCATTTTGCACAAGTGAGCGAAGAAGAGGTGGTCTAGCATATGCCAGCCATAAGCAGCATCTACCCAATGTCACAGGCGCTGACAGGCTTCGTTGTCAACTATTTGGGGCAGCACGCAGTGGAGCTGGGGCCGCTCGACAGCTCCATATCGGGAACCTCAGTTCTCAGCAAGTTGCAATTCTGATTGCCTTGCAGCTTCTGGAGACTGGAACCAACCTGTCCAGGAAGGATCCCACAGTGAACACGGCAGCAAACCTGTTCAAAATGATCGCCTACAACAACAAGGACCCCAAGCAAAGCGCACGTTTCGAAAAGGTGTTTCGCAGCCTTGCGGAGAACACCGGGGTTGCTGACACTGCAATCGCCACCAGGACCACCTCCTCGCCGGCCTTATAGTAGCAGGCTACGATGAGAAGCGGGGTGGCCAGGCCAGGGGACAGGCTTCATTTGCACTCCAAGGCTCTACGTGTGCGCATGACAGGTCTATAGCATCCCCCTGGGTGGCTCTCGTATCCGAGTGCCATGGGCCTGCGACGGATCCGGCTCTGGCTACATCAAGGGGTTCATCGATTCGCACTACCGACCAGGCACTCTGCACTTGGCTGGAGAGATAGCAGCAGAGAGTAGGGAAAGCTTCCAGTTCTGCCAGGCATGTCCAAGGCGGAGTGCTTAGAGCCGCCACCTTAGACCGCAGACGCAGTTTGCATCGGCTGTCCTCGCGCGATGCTGAAGTCCAGTCTTGGCCCTGTATCTCCAGGGCAGCCGGCCGCGGAGAGAGACGGCTGAGTGAGTCAGGGACGGCCTAGTTCCTGGTGCTGACAATCTCTCCCCGAGGTTCGTGCAGAAGGCTCTCTGCTTTGCCATGAGTCGCGATGGCAGCTCCGGTGGTGTCGTGCGGACTCTCGTGATCACGAAGGACAAGGCAGCCTCCGCCTTTCACAGTTGAGCCAGTTCTAGCAGATTCTCGCACCGCTTGAAAGGTTGAGGAATCCATGATTGAGGGCAACAAGCTGGCCTTCGGACCATAACAATGCTGAGCCCCTTGCTTTCATATGAAGTGTTCTTCCCTGGCAAGCAATCGAATCGTTGCATGTCCGTGGCGGGTCTGAACCTGCTGCTTAGGTCAAGATGGAAAAGCCCGAGGGTCGAGATTCAGAGAAAAATCCGCTGTAGGATGAGCACAGCTGAACACCCCGTGAGGCGCGAGGCAGCAAAAAGCTGGCGTAGACCACCCATGTGTTAGCACACACGGAGTGGAATCTGTTAAGGGCATCCGGTACACATCGTCGCACCAAGTGAACGTCATTATCCCTGTTTCGGCTTGATGGTTACAATGCAGCCAGCAGCAAGCAACAAGTCTTGCAGTACAGGCTTGGCAAGGGCACAGATACGAGGTGTCAGACCCTCCAACCATGCAGCAGCTTTCCCTCACTTTCTCCCGAGCGTCAGCCCCATCCAAGTAAGAGTTACGGCTCGCCATGCACCATGACCGCATGGCTGCGCATGGGCGATGGCTGCCTAGGCCCGTCCTGATTCCACGACCGGTCGGTAAGCTCGGTGGGTTGACGCGCAGGCTGTTTGCCTTGGCCCTGGCCGTCGAAGCCGCATTTCGACGCCCTGGAAGAAAAAGTGGAGGAGGCCACGGTCGCGCTGTCCGCCGTCAGATCCTTGTACCAGATTTCTATTTGCAGGGCCACATCGGATGACACTCAAGACTGTGTCAGGTTTGGCGACGGGTTCTGGCGCTGCCTCCCGGAGGCCCGGCGCTGCCAGTTGCATTCACTATGGTGTGATGCTGTATCATGATCATCGGATGGTTTACGGGCTTGTCGAGCGTTTTCAATGGATTCTACTGCCCATCAGCCGTGATGACATGTATCTGCACACACATGTGTCTGCAAGTATTCACGTAAGTTTGCATGCATGCACTCAAGGGTGTACACATGTATGGATGGATGGATGGATGCATGCATGGATGCATGTACATAAATTGTTACATATTCATGTGCGTATTCATGTATGCATGTATATATGTATGCATGTATGTATGCATGCATGTATGTATGCATATGTGCATGTACGTATGTCTCAGCATGCGGGGCCTCAGCACAAGTCAGGCTGTTGGCCAAAATTTCCCCTCAAAAGAAACGATCGGATAGTGCCAACTTTCGTGCACGTGTTTCCTTTAGCTGCTCCCTACTTTACCACGGAGCTTGTTGACGGATACGCATGCCTGTGTGCATGTACGTGCAGGTGAGGGTATGTATCTACGTATGTATTTGTATTAGTGCACGGGTGTCTGTATGCTTATGCAAACAGATTGTACATGTATACATCGCCGCATATTCTTGGGTCCTTGTTCACGACTATCATGACAAGAAACGCAGCTGAAGGTGCTAACTAACTCTATCATGCCGGGTGTGTATGTGCCCATGTGTTTTATCGTTCATGCCGTCTTTGGCGGAACTTGGACGGACTCTTTGAGCCTTGTCACGTGGCTGGGCTTGTACAAGCCGAAGACAATGATCTTCAGAACAATCGCCAAAAAAGGCTTGTGACATACCTACTAACAACGATCGAAGCTGACATTGTCACAGCTGTTTTGGGCTGTTTACTCTGTTATTCAAATTTATATGCAGCATTGTCAACTTGCATCCGTCTTATACATGATGAAACGGGTCTAGAGTTTCCTGTCTTATCCACGTTAGTAGATGCTCGTGTTAGAAGTACACCTTTTCTGTTGCAAAGTCGGTGCCATGCCGGATGCACGGAATGCGTACACTTTCGGGCTTCTAGTTTGCGGACTAACTTGAAGCTTTGCGATGCAATTGCCAGAATTTGTCGCTGCTGCCTCGCAGGCATACGTCCAGAAGATAGTTTCCTCGAGCTGGGCGGGGAGTCCCTTCTTGCGCTCAGGCCAGCGCCCCAAAGTAGCTCTGCTTGCAACCCGAAGTGCATTGCTTTCGCAGGGTCTGCGCAACGCTCCGCTATGAACTTGGTGGGGAGGACACGATCACATGCACATCCTCTGTGTCCCTGTCTTCACTCGTGCGACAGGCGGAGCCAGATGAAGATGTTGCTCCTGGTGACGAGAAGGACGGGCCGTGCCTTGAGAAAGGTGAGTATGTATGCTTGTCAAACAAGTGGAGCAAGAGCTGTCGAGGCTCCACAATTTGGGCATGTTTCTGGCGCATTCGCAGTGGCAACACTACTCGCAGCGCCCAAATCTCAGTTTTCTACATCAGCCCAAGGTCACGGATAGGTTGGCTAAGAGGATCTAAAAAAGCTTGAGATTGGTTGTGTCAGCGTCATCTTCTTTGCAAGGCCTAGCTTCCGTGCGTTTTGCGATGGTCTGCGGCGCGGCGGCTACCACGTGCCAGGCTGGAGAGCCAACAGAGCCGGCGATAGAGGGGCCAGAGCCGCCTCCCTCTCTCTGCCTGTCACCCCCTCCATCGGTCTCTGGCTCTCTCACTTTGTCTTCCTGAGTCATTCCCCATGTTTGTGTTCTCTTTCGGCTGGTGGGAACTAGGCTCCGTGGCATCGTTTACGATACCACTGTGATGCCTTGACTCGTATGGTGTTCTGTTCCTCCCAGCTGGTTGAAGATCATTTAGGTGATAAGTTCAGTTGCAGAGGCAGGCAGATACATTGATACGATTGAAGTTTGCAGGCATTCCTCTGCGATCTGAAGCAGGTGACGGAGTGCCATGCCAGGGCCCGGAGCAGAAGCACCAGGCAGGCACAGGAATGGCGATTTTTTTGCAGCACAGTTGCAGTTCATTTAATTGCGGGACGTGCAGAGTTCCAGCTTGCTTGGAGCAACTGCCGGGCCCGTTCGTTGGCCTTGCGGGTGCCGGGAACTGTCTATGAGTGTATTCACATGCTCATACGTAAATAGTCGCTCCGTTCTGTTCTGTGTGGTTGATCCGAGCTGTCTCAGTTGAGACTGCGCAACTCAAAAATCATGCATGAGGTGAAACGGGTCGGCTCTCCCAAAAAGAAAAAGCTGTGGGTCGGGGACCTTCACAGCTCTTTTGTGACAGATGATCCTCTATCCAGGCTACATTGTCGGGCTTGGGACGAAAAGAGGGTATGAGCTCTGAGAGAAATAGTCGCTCAACAATTATGTATATACATATCTATGCAGTCCAACAAGTTATGCATCAACTGCAACATTGGCAACATCGACGAGTAAGTTGAACACAGACAACCATAAGGCTTTTCTAAACCACAACCGTTAGGCACCTTAGCATATATTCGTCGTCCTATAATACTGAGATGACATCCTCGGACGATGCAGTTTTGGTAGGTCGGCAGGCTGGAAGGCATCTGCATGGGGATCAAAGGACGTTGCTGCTTCCCCTGCCGCATCGTGGGTGACATATGCACATGGCTGGCGAAATACTTCGCAAAACGCATACGTTGCTGTTAAAGTTAGTGGTACTGTACTGGACCCTTCATATGACAGTTCTGATTCCAGTGGGCTTTTTTCACCACACCACACCAAAATTGTAATTTGTAGGTATTTATATGGGTAGGGTCTAGCAGTCTAGCATTGTGACCTTCGCACCATGTAAATACTGAGGCCACCAACCGAACATGAATTAGGGGTTTCTTAGCGATTTGTTTGCGAGCATGAGCGATTTAGCTTGTTTAGTGAGGAATTACCGAGAGATTAGCGAGAAATTAGCGAGCAATTAGCGAGAAAGTAGCGAATTCCTTTGGATTTGCTAGAAAACCTACATGACTTATGTACTCCGACAGCTAATGGTGTTTGCTTTGTTTCTCTCGATATCTCTCAATCTTCCTGCAAATCTCTCTCAAACATTCTGCCAAAGAATTCGCGAATTAAATATTTTGCAGTTTCCAATATTTACATTCCAGAGATGATCACAAGTCTAGCAACTAGCTACAGATGGATTCCGATTTGCAGTTGTGGAGCTGCAGTGCTCAGCTCGCCAGGCCTGGCCACGCTTGCGCAGCGCTGCACGAAGCCGGGGTCCAGGCAGATGGCGGGGACTGGTGTCTACTAAGGACTTAACTAAGGGCCAGAATCCAAAGGTATAGCTTGAAGGCTCAGAACATCTCAGAATTCGGCGAGCTGCCATTCAATTTGTGAGCTACCTGCTCCCTCCCTCACACGACGTCCCTGCATCCGCCTCGAGATTTTCGGCGCCTTGGCGCCTTGACAGCCCTGTTCGGTGTACAATCTGGATGCTCTTGCACGTTCGAGGATTAGGCGCAGCTCAGCCTCATCGCATAGAGGGTCTCGGTTTTGCGATGTTGGAACCCGCAGGCGCGGCAGCAGCCTTGGCAGCGGAGCTGGATGCAGCAACTCCAGAGGATCCTTGCGGAATCATTAAAGGTGAGCAACCAAGCCACATACGCCTCGATAGTCTCTATGCAAGGACGCTCAGCGGTGGATTGGGGCCACTGCTCGACAGGGTAATGCGAAGGCGCCGGTTTCCACTCAGCGGCACAAGCAAATACCGCCCCATCTCACGAGCTTCGATTCCAAGGTTACTTTTGGTATCTGGTGGGGCGACTGTTTGGGCAAAATAATGCCGGGGTACGCTCTCAAAAACACCATCTGTTCTGGTCGGTGGCTTCCATGCTGAAAGCTATAATATACTATACTATACTATACTATACTATACTATACTATACTATACTATACTAACTATAATTATTATACTATATACTTTTTTACTATGCTTTGATTTTTCTGCCAGCAGGCTGCTTCCTTCACGGCCCTCCACGCAGCGGCGTCAGCAACTCAGGGCTCGCCATGGCAGTAGGACTCTGACTCTCGCAAAAAGGGGTACCCTTTTTTGGGGGATCCTACTATTTCAGGTACTATATTAGGGAATTATTATAAATGCTTAAAGATATGCAATTAATCCGCGCTTTTTCAACAAAAAGCAGTGGGTGATTGAGGGACCGCCTGGGAAGCAAAGTTTCTCGGCTGCTTAGTGTTTTCGTCGCGTCCGGTGCGTGCGACCCGTGCACTGTCTAGCATAATAAGAAAACTATTACGAATAATAACACTACTCGTAAGATTCGCATCTGGATCGTGAGCCGTGATTATTATATAGCAGCTGTATTGGCCTGTTTCTCCAAGAGAGAGAGATAGAGATTGACCCTACTTACCCTGAAGCCATACATCACCCACAGATCCAGGGAAACAGGTCCGTCGATAGAATAAGGTAGGTGTAAGAAGGTGTAAATCAGTACTCAGAAGTGTAGAAAGAAGTACCTTACCACATTTGTGCATGTTCACATGTAGGTTTATGCAGAGATATGGCCACGACGAGATGGGTACATGGATAGACATGCTGAAGCACAAGAAGGCGTGCAACATGTTGCACAACCACTGAAGCCGTCTAGAGAAGTCGGAGCAGGCAAGTGTAGAAAAGCATGAACGCACGTAAGAGTATAAGGAAGTGCCAAATAATGAGCGGCCTTCATTTACTGCCCGCAAATCACATTAACGAGTAAGTAGCACACAGGTACATCAGAGAAAGGGCGGGCATCTAAGCAGGACGGTTGGCAAGCAAGTAGTTGCATGAAGTGTGCACATGTACACCTGAAGCCTGATTCGAAGCGAATGTATTGCATGCTCAAGATTGTACATATGTTTTGCAGACCACAGTTGGTAGTTGCAGTCCACAACTGTTCAAACATGCGACATCAGTTGATGTACAGCAAGACGAGTATGGCCACAGGCAGGCGAACGCCACCGAGTGCGTGCAATTCCTGTTGGAACGGCGAGCCCTGGACCCAGGAAGCCACCAATAAAGTTGCACGCGACAGGATGCGCTGTGAGGATTTTGATTGATTGATGCACAAAGAACTTCTTGGGAATCATGCCGGCTGCCGGGGGGAGACCATAGATTGGCTAGGATTTAAACCCAAACTGGATTTGTCTGGCATAGACTTGGTTGGCTGTCTGCACTCGTAGGGCCATTGTTGTCTATCAAAGCCGCGACTGGGCTTTGAGGCTTTAGGCATGCAAGGTTTGGGCAGGTGATCTGGCAGAATGCATGCAGCTCGCATCTACAATTTGACCATCTTCAGCTGTAATGGATAGACGAGGGGAGTCTTGCCGTTGCGAGGCGAGAGCCACGACGACTGAGCCGGGTGCGGCAATGACGCCAGAAACCCAGCGAAATTGTTGTGGTTGTATCCGGAGCCCACAGCATAAGATCAAAGTGCGAGCTGCGAAGCAGCATTTCGCTCTGGCATCTCCTTTCTGGCTTTGTAATGAGAGCGTAGGGTTCTTACATTGAGAGTACAGGGAGTGGGTCTGCTGGTCACTGTAGGTGCGAGGCGCCCCCGGCAGGTGTGTGCGGCGGTTCCGCGACAACAATAGTGTGCGGTTTTGTTACGTTTGTTTGTGCTTAGGCCTTTGCACTATGCCGCCATGGCTTCGGGGGCCGGCGCCTTGGACTTGCTGCCGGGCCCTCGAGCATCCACCTTCCGTCACCAGTTGCTGAGGCTCCGAGATGAGAATGGTGTTTCTGGTGGTAGTCGCAGATGTCGTGGCGTGGTGGTGGTGGTGGTGGTGGTCGTCGTCGTCGTAGTAGTAGTAATAGTAGCAGCAGTAGTAGTAGTAGGAGGAGTAGTAGTAGTAGTAGTAGTAGCAGCAGGAGCAGTAGCAGTAGCAGTAGCAGTAGCAGTAGCAGTAGCAGCAGCAGCAGTAGCAGTAGCAGTAGTAGTAGTGAGTAGTGGTAGTGGTAGTGGTAGTGGTAGTGGTAGTGGTAGTCGTAGTAGTAGTAGTAGTAGTAGTAGTAGTAGTGGTAGTAGTAGTAGTAGTAGTAGTAGAAGTAGCAGCAGTAGTAGATGTAGCTGGAGCCCGTAGCGGTTTCGGTTCTACTAGCTGTAGTACTAGTAGTAGCCGCAGCAGTAGTAGCAGTCGTCGTCGTCGTAGTAGTAGTAGTAGCAGCAGTAGTAGTAGTACTCGTAGTAGTGGTGGTGGTGGTGGTGGTAGTAGTAGTAGTAGTAGTTGTTGTTGTTGTTGGTGCAGGCAGTGGAAGTGGTAGCAGTAGTGGTTGTGGTCGCAGCAGTAATAGTAAGTAGAGCGACTTAGAGAAAGAAGAGCAGCAAGACTGATGGTCATGCTGCAAGCCAGAATAGAAACAAATATCCATCAGAAGACATAACAAGACAACAAGACAGACTGTGATGTCTCTCCAACTGTTTCGCGACTTTTCCTTTCTGTGTGGCATCTTGCTTGAGTTGTTCTTCTCTGTTTTAGAGCCATGCTCTACGACGGGATTGTATTTTCCTTTCGTTTGCGACAGCTATGCTTCACCATGCAAATCTCGTGCTCAGTACCTTGCCGTTGGTACTTCGTACGAGTGTACTATGTCGACTAGACTCCCAGCACGACACAAATCGCTGTCTAATGGTAGGCGGTTATCCGGTAAGGAGAAGGTGAGATCTAATGCCAACAGTGTTGTAATGCTGGCCAGCATATTGCCACTTGCATCGGTTCAGCAGAGAAATCGCGGGGTGCATAGCGAACGCACTAGTACGCGGAAAGATGAGAGCAACGCGAACACAGCCAAATGGCAGTATGTACCAGAGTTTGTGGAGTATGGACGGTGAGAAGAGAGGAGAATACGTCTACGATTTTGAGATAACCTGTAACGACGCATGCATGGTCATCGCTATCATTAATGTATGTATCTAAGCTACCAAGTAGGTAAGAAGCAAGTCTGTCTGTCTGTCGGTCTGTTTGTTTGTTTGTCTGTCTGTCTGTCCGTCTGGCTGTCTGTCCGTTTGTCTGCCTGCCTGTATGTACGTATGTATGTAGGTATGTATGTATGTATGTATGTGTGTATGTGTGTATGCATGCATGCATGCAT